AGAAGAGGGGACACATGTTGATGTAGAAGAGACATGAAGAAGAGGGGACACATGTTGATGTAGAAGAGACAGGAAGAAGAGGGGACACATGTTGATGTAGAAGAGAAGTGTAGAAGAGGGGACACATGTTGATGTAGAAGAGACATGAAGAAGAGGGGACACATGTTGATGTAGAAGAGACATGAAGAAGAGGGGACACATGTTGATGTAGAAGAGACATGAAGAAGAGGGGACACATGTTGATGTAGAAGAGACATGAAGAAGAGGGGACACATGTTGATGTAGAAGAGACATGAAGAAGAGGGGACACATGTTGATGTAGAAGAGACATGAAGAAGAGGGGACACATGTTGATGTAGAAGAGACATGGAGAAGAGGGGACACATGTTGATGTAGAAGAGACATGAAGAAGAGGGGACACATGTTGATGTAGAAGAGACATGAAGAAGAGGGGACACATGTTGATGTGGAAGAGACATGAAGAAGAGGGGACACATGTTGATGTAGAAGAGACATGAAGAAGAGGGGACACATGTTGATGTAGAAGAGACGTGGAGAAGTGGATTTTGCATAATATGTGACCTGTAATGTGTCTCCTGTCCTGCAGGACCTGAGCGATGGCATCCGTCAGATCTCCTCCTTCTTCGGCTACACTCTGACGGAGGCTCAGGTGCTTCAGATCTCAGACGGCAGCACCTTCTCCGCCATGAAACAGAGCTCCGCTAACTCCCATGGGGCTTTGGGGGACGTCATCTTCAGAAAAGGTGTCTTGCATACTGTCTCTTTATCAGTCATTATGAAGCAACAATAGCCACAGACGGCTTAAAGTTGCCTCCTCTTCCCACTTAGTAAATCCATTATGAAACACAACTTCTACAAAACATTTCAATAAATGAGTGATGGAAGAAGTGCTCAGGTCCTTTGCTTAAGTACAAATGGTAACACAACCTTAAAAATACTCAATTCCAAGTTAATGTCCTGTTTTAAAAACGTTACATAAATAAAAGTACCGAAGTAACATCAGCAAAATGTACTTAAGGTTGCAAATACTTATTGTGCAGAATCGCTCGCAACGTTTAGTGTTAATAGAAATATGATATCATTTGTTTTTTAACATAAACAAATGAGAGGTTTTTTTCGAGACAGAGAGTGAATAAGCATATTTCCCTAAATGTTCAACTGTTTAAATTATTAAAATGCTCAATGAAATGAGGTCTGATATTCCACTATTAATATACGAGAACTTCCGTGTTGCAGATAAACTTTCTGTTGTTATTTTTCTAAGCACTTTGAGCACCAGGAAAAGCGCTATACAAATCAAATGTAGTATTATTATTATTATTATTATTATTACTTCATTATTTTCAGGCAAATTAACAATAGGTAAAATCAGAGGTTTTAACTGTGAGATATTTGTGTCCCTGTGCAGGCGAGGTGGGCGACTGGAAGAACCACTTCACCCCCGAACAGAGCCGAGAGATGGACGCCGCCTTCAACAAACAGCTGGCAGGAACCAGGCTGGGAGCCAAACTCAACTACCAACGCCACTGCCAGTAGGGAGCGAGGGAGCAAGGGGGGAAGGAAAGAAGGAGGGAACAATTGCATTATGAATGGTTGTTTTATTTACTCCAATCTGTGAACTTTGGTTGAAAAGTTTCAAATGTTGCAGCTCACAAGCCGGGCGCAAAACCTGCTGTAAAACGAGCAAATTGTTGTTTTATGGATACTTTTTCTTTGTGCTAAGCTAACTTCGCTATATAATAAGAGTTTACATTTTTCTAATCTTACTCTCCACCAGAAACCAGTCCTTGCGACACCTTAGGAGCGGCAACATTTGGGTTCACCTGAAGTTAATCTGTGCACTAAACACAAACAATCTGTGAATAAAAAACTGTTCTCAAACACCAGAGACACACTGCTCATCGACACAGGAAACATACAAGAAATATATCTTCTGTGGGGAATAAAGAACATGCATTCAGATGCTTTCACACACATACAAATAGATTTTAACATCAGAAAGTGCACCTGAACATCAGCAGAGTTTGGGGTTTGTGTGTGCAGCTCTGCAGGTACTTCATATTGATATGAAATGCTAATCTGTGCAGCACATTTCATATACCAAAGCAACACAAACAAGCTATATAAAAAGTAAAAAATGGTACAATACGAAACAAATAAGACAATTTAAAGATAAGGAATTACAAAAGTGTTTGATCCAGCAATACATTATCATAGTGAAGTGTTAAGGTACTGAAACACATTTTCATTCACCTTAATGCTTTTAGGATTTAACATGTGTTGCACCCAGAATAAAAAAATGAAAGAGACATACAGCAATACCATTTAAAAATGCACATATAATAAAAAAAACATGATCGTCACACAATGAAAGTGGGCCGAGGTAATACAATCCTGATGGTGTTTTCTGACATGCTTTAAAAACGTGTATGCAACAGGTGTATTTTTTTTTCAGCCCATTCCTGTTGGCTCTGATTCAGGTCCGTATTCAGTCACACCAGAGATGATCAGATTTACTGGGTGTGATTGTATTCAGCAGCTAAAATCAGGAGCACATGAACGTTACTCCTCAGGTTGTTTTACTATGTTTAAAAAACACATTTAACATTTGAATCATTGTCAAACTGGCAGCTACCGGTCTGAACTCGTGGGAAAACGCACGTCATTCTGGTTTTTGAAATTGTGGCTTTTATACAACTTTGTGAATACGGGCTTTTATACATTTGCACAATCACTGTTTATTCTGTATGGTTATTACATAGGGTGCATCACTGTACATGATCACGATGAAAATAAAACCCTTTTCCAGACCACTTACTTCATCTCCATTTGTTTGACTCCATCTCTGCTGCTATGAACATAATAGGGACATAAGTGGAACGCAGGAATACGAGGATGTGTGTCCTTCCTTTATAACTAGTTTGCTATGCCCTATTGCAGGGGTGTCAAACTCTTGGCCCGTGGGCCAAATCCGGCCCTTCACTTCATTGTATGTGGCCCAGAAGAGCTTGCAAATAGTATTCTACGTTTATTATAAGGTTACGTGCTGCTTTCCAGGATCACGTTGCCCATAAACTACATGTCCCACAATGCATCTCATTTTGAGAAAAGCGCACTGAAGAGACTTGCAATTATTTGCCCTAGACTTCTGCTTTTAGACATAGTCAATTATGAAGTTATTACCCTATCCGACAATAATCCAATGCAGAGGAAATATTGTAAAATAATATATTATTTTATATATATTATGTATATTTATCTGTGTATATTTATATAGTCATAGAGGCTACTACAGTGGACAGCTTTTCAAAAGGTGTTTTCTTGTATATGCATGGGTTTTGATGGCATAGTTGCACCATCAGCCACTACATAGGACCCTATTGCATCATCCCATACACTGCCACTCAGTGGAATCTCAGTGTAAGTGCATGATACATTTCTCCAAACCAAGAGGAACGACAGAAAGCCAGATGGACCAAGTCACCTGCCGATATCCTGCCAATAATCCTTTTATGGAAAGCGCCCCCTGCAGGTATAAAACATTTGGTGACATCAAGTAACAACTAATGAATCATATAATTCATAAATTGTCAAAGTATTGATTTTATGTTCGCAGGAAATTATGATTATTCACCTGTCCACTAAAGTGGACGTCATGCCTCACTGGCTATATTTACTACAATTCATACTGTTACTGCTACTGTTCTTCTTGAAAAAGCTTCATCTGCAATATCTTTTTCGGCCTTAAATCAATATACTTATGTTATTATAATTTAATTTTAAGTTTGCACATCTTTATTTCTCATTTTTTCCAAATGTACAAGTTTTCAGTTCAGACTTTAACGACTTTAAAAAAATCCTGAGTGAGGCTTTCTCAATTCATGCATGAAAGGGTTAAAGTTACCACCGGCCCTTTGAGAGCAACCATCATTCAAATGTGGCCCACGATGAAATTGAGTTTGACACCCCTGCCCTAATGTGTTATATAGACCAGTACCACTAAGAACTTTATGTATGTTTAGATAAATATAATGATGCTATTGCTGAAAGATAATTCAAAATGATAAGTGTTTAATTTCAGCAAAGATAAATGCAAAGTATGTAAACACACTCATGATATTTTAACCCTATATTTCACCATTACACTGCCGATTTAAGACTTGTTTTTTTACAGGCAATACAATTACATATTCTAATTGTATGATATTATGATTGTTCAGGTGCAATCAAACACTCCCAATTGGTCATTATTAGGTAATATAGTATTGTTAAGGTTAATATAAATATACAATATAACTAAGGGAACAATACTATAACACAAGATTTGACAACACCTCCTTTATCGAGTAGAACCTAAAAGATTACAAAAACTCAAATAAATCTTTAAATTCAATGAAAAAACAAACCGGAAGTGCTTCATACTACTTAGAGTAAATACCATTATGTTTTCCTCTGAAAGAGCTGACCGGAAGTTGTGTCATTGTTGATGTGATGCTAACTTAACGGCTGGTCCACCGTTAGTCTCGTGAATGGATGACATCATGCTGTCGGTCTCCATCTGCGACATGACACCTGCAGACACTAACGGTGAGACGTTATTATTTACAACCTGCCGTTAAACCGGTAAGAGCGACGCGTTCACGGTTTTCTGTTTACATAATGATTCACAGAAGTGTTTCTGTTAGCTAGCATGCTAACGTTAGCCTCAGGGAAAGCACCCAGGTAGAGCTAGTGATGCTAAAGATGCTAAAGATGGAGGTGAGAGGAATTCACCTGTTAGTCTTATTAAAATGGGAACTAAAGGGACATTTTCCTTTTTTGATGAGGAGAACACCTGCTTGCATCCATGTTGGGAATATTTCCAAATCAATGTAATGCTACATGATGGTATATTGATTTAATTAAATTAATTATGTTATCAACTAATTAATGCCACTTCTGGTCACCTTTTTTTTTTACTACAGGCTATTTTAACACCTACATTTGAATGCATGAGTGTTATTGATCTAACGATATTATATAATAGTGTAACAATCACAGGGGACACAGCCTACTGTAACACGAGACAGTAGCTACAGTGTAGTTATGGCAATGAATATCTTAAGTGCCAGTCTCCTTCAACAATGCAACATAGATATATATCAACATAAAGCAATGAAAATAGTGCAAGAAGAATAAGATGAGCTAAATACATAATGTTACATAAAAAATACTCTACAAGGATAACATATTGGTTATTGTAGTAATTCATAAATATGTGGAGTGCAAACAAATGGACACTTAACGTTAAAAAGACACTTCACAGATCCCAGGAGTTTAGCAGTCTAATGGCCAGTGGGATAAAACTGCCCCTTATTTGAAGCAACGTTAACAGTTTCAATGCTTGACTTTTTCTTGTAAACACAGGCTTTCACTTAGGGACCATCAATACATGTTACCTTTGAATTGCATAACACCAATGTTACTTTCAGTATCTGCCTTCTAACGTTTTTGTATAGGCAAAAACTATGCCAAACAAGTTAAATTAAATGTTTCATATTTTTCAGTAGTTAGTTTCCATGTCATGAGAACCAGTAACTCCAAATAAAGCAGAATTGACACACCCACTTTTTATTGGATTTTACTCCCATTTCTTTCTTATATCGACATATTTATTTTAATTGAACACTCTTGGATTATTTCAATAGCTCCAATATTATGTGACCTAATGACCCCAAATCCCACTGGACAATTAGGACACCCCTCTTTGAGTTGTGGGCCGACACAACTTAATATTATTTAAATTTTTGTTCTGACGGCCGTTCAGCTACATGTATGTTGGTAGTTTTGTTTGCACTGATAGCAAACATGTTCCTCTGGTCAGAAGGCCCTCCTGTGTTTTTGTTTGATGGTTGTGGGCCAAAATGCAGATTTTCTGTCCCAGTCCAGCCCTGATTGAGTCCCTCTCTTGATCTCTGTGTTGCAGGTGCAGAGTGATGCAGCAGAAGTTGTGCTCCAGAGGTTCTGGTTCTTTCCTCGTTCTTTCCTCTCGGAGAGGAACGGCCCAGGCTGCGGTGCCTCCTCTTCTCCTCCTCTCGCTCACCTGCCGTTCGCTGCCCCGCTGTGAGAGCAGGAGCGTTTCCGCAGCCTGGCCTCGCTCAGAGCGCACCTGGAGTACCGCCACTCGTACTGCTCGCCGACGTGACCAGCGGCGCTTCAGCATCACCGGAAGCTGCCCGACCCGTTAACCGGCATCGATCCGTGGCACGACATGAGCCTCCCGACCCGCAGGGGCAGCAGAGACCCGCACGTTCGCTCCCCTCAGCGACAGGCAGAGACAGGTTATATATATTTGTATTTGCAACGTTGTTTGGCTACCACACAGGAGATGGGCAAAATTTACACACATCCCTTTACTCGAGCAGAAGTACGCACCGATACTCGTGTTTAAAATAATCTGAGTAAAAGTTAGAGAAGTACTGACTAAACTTCTTTACATCAAGTCAAAGTAAAGAGACTTGAAAATGTACTTCAGTAACAAAGTACCCATAACTAGCAAGGCTGTTTTAAAAGGAGTACCTGACCTCCCTTTATATTAATAGAACAATAATGTCATTGTTAGCTAATGGAATGTTTCCATGGTGACCAACGGCAAATGCAACGTTTCCATTGGGTCGCCCTCTTCTTTAGAAAGACCAGGAAATGAATGGATACACGCGGATCGTGTTTCAAATCAATAGGCAGCGCAATAACTCTAAAATAAATTAATGATCACGGGCACCAAACCACGTATTTCAGACCTAAAGGAACCAGCCTGTTTGGAAAATGAGGAGAAGTAGGAAAGTAACAGGATAT